TATGTACTCTTGCTCATTTGCCCAGGCTGGAGTGCAGTGGCATAATCTACCATCGCTGCAGCGTCCACCACCATGTTGGCTAGTTTCTGTATTTTTACTAGAGAGGGAGTTTTGCCATGTTGATCAAGCTGGTCTGGAACTCCCAACCTCCCCAGTTCAAGCAATTCTCCTGCCTCAGCCTCTTGAGTAAGCTGGGATTACAGGCATCTGTCACCACGCCCAACTAATTTTTGTATTCTTAGTAGAGAGAGAGTTTCACCATGTTGGCCAGGTTGGTCTAAAACTCCTGACCTCAGGTGATTCGCCCACCTCGGCCTCCCAAAGTGTTGGGATTACAGGTGCGAGCCATCTCGCCCAGCCGTTTTTTTTTTTTTTTATTTTTTTGAGACAGAGTTCTGCTCTTGTAGCCCTGGCTGGAGTGCAATGACAAGGTCTTGGCTCACTGCAACCTTCCCCTCCTGTGTTCAAGCGATTCTCCTGCCTCAGCCTCCCCAGTAGCTGGGTGTACAGGTGGCCGCCACCACGCTTTGCTAATTTTTGTATTTTTAGCAGAGAGGGGGTTTCCGCCATGGTGGTCAAGCTGGTCTCGAACTCCCGACCTCAGGTTATCCGCCCACCTCAGCCTCCCAAAGTGCTGGGATTACAGGCGTGAGCCACCGCCAGGCCCTCACTGTCTCTTTTTCAGTGGCTGGAAAGAGACTGGAATGAGCTGATCTCGATCAAAAGAAAACTTTAAATGTACGAAGACACACGTTTTCTCTCAAATTGACATGCACCAAAGTTTTCCGTCTGCTGGGTTCACCCAGATCAAACAAGACGAGGTCTCTGTCCCGCAGGCCGCGCCACGAAACTCCCTGTGAAATCACAGAACCTGGCCTCGTGGCCAGCTCACCACATTGGAGGGAGGGGGCTCGCTCGGTACACAGCTACCCGCACAACACGAGGCCCGCGCTCGGCCCACGTCTACTTGGCTACCTCCCCGATGCTCCCGGGTCGCGACGCGCAGTAGGGGACCCCAACGCCCGCGTGCCGCGTTCCCGCCTCCGTGCGTTGCCACGCCCCCAGTACCTTGCCACGCTCCCGCCTCCCGGCCTTACCCCGCCCCCAGGGCCGTGCCACACTCCCGCCAGCCGCTCTGGCCCCGCCCCCGCGGCCGCGTGCCGCGTTCCCGCCAGCCGCTCCCCCGCCCAACGGCCGCCCAGCTCACTGGACCGGGGTGACGTCATGGCTGGAAATAGCCGCGGGGCCAGCGGGGCGGAGCCGCCCAGGAAGCGCGAGACAAAGCTGCGCGGGGCACACGCCCCCTCCTCGCCCCCGCCGGCTCGGGTGCGCCCCGTGCGGCCACCGCCCCGCCGGCTCCGGAGCCCGCCCAGACCCCCACCAGCGCGGCCGTAGTGATGCCCTACACGCCCCACCTCCCACTTTCACCGGCGCGCGGGCCCCGCACCCCGTCCCCCGCCTCGCTCCTCGCTCGAACGAGTATTCCCGCCGCGGCAGCCCCACCACTTACTGCGCGCGCGTCGTCTGGGCCCGCGGAGTCCGGCGTGTGCATCGTGCCGGCCGGCCGGGAGCAACAAAGCGGCCGCGGGGCGTAAGCTGGAGCGCAGTAGCGGTCCCACGTGCGTGGCGGGCGGCGGGCGGCGGGCGGCGGCGGCGGCGACGACCCGGAGCTCCTGCGTCCGGCACACGCCTCGCCCGCCCGCGCCGCTCTACCCCGGCACGGCCCTCGCGGCGCGGGAGGGGCGGGGCGGCAGCGGAGGGAGCGGTCGGCGGGGCGGGGCACGGAGGCGAACCAAAATACACCGCGCCCCTGTCGGGGCGGGGCCGGCTGCATTCAGCCAATCCGCACCTGGTTCTTGCGCGGCTGGCCAATGAGCGCCGCGGGGGGCCGCGTGATCGGAGCCTGGCCGCGGCGTGATCCGTCAGGGCGGGACGCAGCACGTGTTTTGGTCAGAGTGAGGGGCGGGGCCTGAGGCCCTGGAAAGTAGGGGAAAGGTTGCGGCGGCGGCGCCGGGGGCGCGCGGGGCGGAGGGTGAGGTGCGGCAGCAGCTGGGGAAGTCCCAGGGCCAGGGCCGGACTCGCTGCGGGGAGCGGGGAACCGCGCTTAAAGGACCCTCTCGCAGCCCCACTGGCTGAATCCACCGGTAGCGGAGACTCACCTAGAGGCCTCACCCCGGCTTTTGTTTGCTTGTTTTTAATTTCTGTCACTCTACCTTTGGCTCTTAGGAGTGCGTCCTTGACCAGAGAGGTCTGAAACCTGGCCGTTTCTAGGTGACATTCCTGCATTCGGTCATTTTTGCAGATACCCGGAGCCGGAGCTTTACGGCCTGAGTGTCCCTCCTCAAGCGTCTCTGGGCCTCTGCCACCCCGTTGCCCGCTGAAACCCGCCGATCCTTCCCATGCCCGGAGGAAAGGCCGCCCCCTCCGGGAAGTCCACGAGCGTGCAGGAGAGATCTAGCCCAGTGTCCAGGACACCTTTTTTTTTTCCTCCCTATATTTCGGTTGCTCCCGTCTCTTGGTGTGATTTGCTCACGTCTGCAGGGCCAGGTTCGTGGAGAGCAGGAGGCATACTGTTTATTTGTGTCGCCGTAGCCTTCAGCTCAGCGACGGGTCACCCGTCTGTCTGTCCACTGCGCCCGTGTTTGCTGAGCCGCGATGCGGGTTGGCGCTCAATGCAAGGGGCAGAGGCCACAATGAGGAATTTTTTTTTTTTTTTTTTTTTTTTTTTGAGATGGAGTTTCACTAATGTTACCCAGGCTGGAGTGCAATGGCGCGATCTCGGCTCACCGCAACCTCCGCCTCCCAGGTTCAGGCAATTCTCCTGCCTCAGCCTCCTGAGTAGCTGGGATTACAGGCACGCACCACCATGCCCAGCTAATTGTTTTTGTATTTTTAGTAGAGATGGGGTTTCACCATGTTGACCAGGATGGTCTCGATCTCTTGACCTCGTGATCCACCCGCCTCGGCCTCCCAAAGTGCTGGGATTACAGGCTTGAGCCACCGCGCCCGGCCAAGGAATTGTTCTTGAAAGCTCATATCCAGGGTAGCGGGAGCAGAGACTGAATCCCAGCACCCGGGGGCTTTGCTCTGAGCCAGAGAAGCCTGGGCTCTGGGGAACAGGCCGGGCCCCACCACTCACCTGAGCAGAGCTCTGGTCCCCACTTGCTCCTGTGGGGCCCACTCGGGTTGGACAGAGGGTTTGAGGAGGCCGAGGAAAGGGTGTGTGCTGAAACAGTAAGAGGGTTGAAGATGAATGAACTCTTCACATGAGGACCCCAGGGGCTCTGAGAAGGGCACAGGGGGTTTTATGTGTGACAAGTCTTAGGTACAGGCTGGAATATTCTCTTTTGCCTGGACTCCCGCATTTGCCAACTGGTCTCCCTGCGACCGCTGCAGCTCCCAGAGCCCCTTCCCACCCAGCAGCCCCAGGGGTCTTTAACCCTTTCAGTGGTTCCCACTGCACTCAGCGGAACTCTCCTGCTCCCTACTGTGGCTTGTAAGCTGCAGCGATCCAGCCCCTCCCTCTCCAGCCCCATCCCTCTCCCCATACCCTCAAGGGACAGGCCGGGCCTCCTCTTGGTCACCTGTCCCACCAGCCTCTCTGCCATCTTCAGGTCTTTGCACTTGCCATTCCCTAGAATGCTTTTTCCCCAGATGCCCCCTTTCCTCTTACCCGCAGTCCACCTAGAGAGCACCCTCGGGCTGACCTCCAGGCCCCTTCTCACATGCTATCTTGTTTTCTTCCTCCACAATAGTTCATGATCTATCCATTTTCCATGACCTAAGTTATTTGTTCATGTCTGTATCACCACCAGAAAGAATCTCCCAAGGCCAGGGAGGCTAGCTGTTTATCTCATTTGTCCACGTAGGGGAATGAGCAAATGAAAGTGTCTACCATCCTCCCTGCTTGAACATCCTGTGGGCACCTCGAATTGTGTCCTTAAAACTGAACTTAGATTCCACCCAAATCTGGATTTCTTACTTCCCTGTAGGGCACAGCTGTATACCCTGTTCCTTAATCTGGAAACCTGAGCATCACCTTTAACTCCTCCCTTTCCCACAGTTCCTTTCTTTCGCCAATTACGCTGTGCTCCTCTTCTTCCTCAGTTCCTCTCAAACTCTTAGGTCACCCATGCCAGCCCTTGTCCTGGCCATCACCTGCTTGCCTGAATTCTTGTCACTGCCTCCCAAGAGGTCTCCCTCCCTCCAGCCAGATGCCCTACAATCTGCCCTCACCTCACTGCCAGAATGATCTGGAAGTAGAGATTGCACTGAACCTGTATTCAAACCGTCAGTTGGAATCCAGTTATGGGACTGACTGCAGGCTCCTTGGCCAGGAACCCATGAGTCTTTATAGCCAGGCTCCAGCCAGCACTTCCTGCGTCATTTCTGACCAGTTCCCCAAATTGCTTTCCCTTCTGCCTTCCTGCCCCCATGACCCAATATAGAACCCAGTGCACCCAGGGTCATGTCACACCACTCCTTTCTGTTTCTAGACAGCATTCTTTCTGCATAGAGTATGCCAATCCTTGTCTGCTTTGACTCTGTAAGGCTGCATGAGATGGCCAGGCATGGTGGCTCATGCCTGTAATCCCAGCACTTTGGGAGACTGAGGCAGATGGATCACCTGAGGTGAGGAGTTCAAGACTAGCCTGGCCAACATGGTGAAACCTTGTCTCTACTAAAAATATAAAAACTTAGCCCGGCGTGGTGGCTAATAATCCCAGCTATTCTGGAAGCTGAGGCAGGAGAATCATTTGAACCTGGGAGGTAGAGGTTGCAGTGAGCCAAGGTTGTGCCATTGCACTCCAGCCTGGGTGACAAGAGTGAAACTCCTTCTCAAAAAAAAAAAAAGATTGCATGTGACTCCCGGGCAAAACCCTTCCTGATACCCCCAAACAGCCGATGCCTCAGTGGAAGGCAGCGTGTCTGGGCTTTGGAGTCAGACCTGGATCCAAATCCTTGCTCTGCTGGTGTGACCTTGCCAAGTTCTCCTTCCTGTAGGACAGAAGGCGGCAGCAACTCTCCCTGACCTGGCACTCTGGCTTCTCTTGCCCCTGGCTGTGTTTCTGCTCCCCCAGCAGGCACACATGAGAACTGTGCCCTCTTCAGCCATGAGCCCCTGTTCTGCCCACATCTAGCTCATCTTCCAGATGGACAGGCAGGCTGTGGTCACTGTCAAACCCCTGATTCTGGCCCTGCCTTTAATCAGAGGGATGAAAATTTGTAAGCTCAGACTGTTACGGATCATTCATTTAGACTTCACTGAGACCACTGGCACCAGGCTCTGTAGACCATTGGGAAGAGCAAGGTCTGGCAGGCAGACTGGATGTGGTCACAGATAACATTCCCTGTGGGGAGAGTGTGAGCCTGCAGGCCACAATGCCACTGCTTTCTCCTGTGTCCTTCAGAGAGCGCCTATGGCTGTGCACACGTGCTGCCACACAGAGAGGGCTGCTCTGTACCTCGCTCGCTGACTTCTCAGTGTCTTTTGCAGTTGTTACATAACGATCAACCTAATTCTTTGTAATGGCTCAGTAATACTGGATATGTTATTGATTTAACACTCTAGTTGAAGAACCGAGACGTTTAGGTTGCTCCCAGTTTTCTGGGAACGTCGTGCCCCTCCATCATTTACCCACGTGGAAGGATAACTGCAGGATGAGCAGCCCCTGGAACTGGAATTGCTCAGTTAACTGCTCTGTGCATTTTCTGTGCATTTCCTTTTTCTTTCTTTCTTCTTTTTTTTTTTTTTTTTTTGGTAATTTTTTTTTTCTTGAGACAGCCTTGATCTGTCACCCAGGTTGGAGTCTGGAGTGCAGTGGCATGATCTCGGCTCACTGCAGCCTCTGCTTCCTGCATTCAAGTGATTCTCCTGCCTCAGCCTCCTGAGTAGCTGGGACTACAGGTGGGCACCACCATGCCCGGCTAATTTTTTGCATTTTTAGTAGACACAGGGTTTCACCATGTTGGCCAGGATGGTCTTGATCTCCTGACCTCATGATCTGCCCACCTTGGCCTCCCACAGTGCTGGGATTACAGGCGTGAGCCACCGCTCCCGGCCTTTTTTTGGTAAATTTTTATTGAAATATAGCATAGTATAGATATAGGAAAATGCAAAAGCTTACATGTACAATTCAACAAATTTTCACTAGGCAAACACAGTGTCTCTCCAGCACCCAAATTGAGAAACAGAATGTCAGCAGCATCCCCAAAGCCCCCGAGGCTCCGTTCCAGTCACCATTTACCCTTTCCCTAATCCCCTGCATAGGAAAATCCTTATCGTGGCTTCTAACACCGTTGGTTGGTTTTGCATGTATTGACACTTTTTGTGTGTGTGTGACACTTATTATAATATAAAGAAAATCCTACAGTATATTCAATCTGGGGTCTGCCTTCTTTCACTCAATGTGGTGTTCTGGGCAGTTGGACTTTGTTTATTCTTCTTTTATAACAGTTCATTCTTCTGTTCTCTTTCTCTTGGGTTGAGCTTACGGGTCTAGAGGCAGTACAAGGACTGGAACATGCTGTGAGCTGACCAGCCCCTGGGGTGGCTGTCTAGTTGACAAATGACCTAATCAATGGTTGACTAAATGAATGAGTGAATGAATCGCAGATCCACAAATCCACCGAGCTGTTCAATCCCGAATGGAAGCGAGTGTCCATTTCTCCGAACACCCCAGGGCCCCGTCTCCCTCTGCTGGGGGCACTGAGGATGGGGA